CTGATTGTGGACTTTAAACACATCTACAGAACACCTTGATAGCAACACCTAGATTACTGTTGATTGAATTCCTGAGAACCTAGCCTAGTCACTTGTTGACCCATCACAGTGACCCTCCCAACCTCCTTCTGAGGAGAGGCTGTGGGCCGTTTAATGACTCTCACGCTTTGATGATCTGGTTCTGCTTGGGTCTTTGTCCTCTGTCACCTGGAATGACTAATCTGGGCAGCACGCTTTTTGTCCTCCAGGAAATTTGTAAGGATCTGAAAGCTTCTGAAAAGCAAATCCCCTGAAAAGATCTCCCGCCCCAACACCATGTTTCCAATAGACGTCACAGACGAGCATCGGGCTGCCCCTGTACCGGCGTGCTCAGACTGCTGTGGTTGTGACCCCCCATTCTACAGGCCAAATGCCTCTGCCAAGGCCTAATTCCATGCTGTTTGACTCTCATAACGTTCTGCAGTTCCTCTGCCGTCAACATCTAACAAGCTTAGAAGCGTAGCTTTTCAGCCTTCTCCATTAAGGCATTAGGGGAAAAGTCATTTAAGAGTAGGGATTTCTGATGTGGTTTTCTTGGTTCACTTGGTTCTGTTTTTCAGTTGATGGATTATTGCTAGGCCTGAGAGAATCTCCATGAAATAAAATATATGGAGAAGAAAGAGTGTAGACTGTCATTGTAGGTTTTCTTGTTCAGTCTTTTCGAACAAAACCCATTCCTACCCTGAATCGATTCATTCATTCATTCATTCATTTATATTTTTTTTAAGTAATCTCTATACCCAATGTGGAGCTCGAACTCACAACCCTGAGATGAAGGGTCCCATGCTCTACGGACTGAGCCAGCCGGGTCAGTCCTTCAATCCTACCTTGAAATTCACCAGATCAGGTGAATAATAAAGAGGTCAGATGAGACCAAAGAGTGACTTGGCAATAATTATATTATTATATATGGTAATAATCCATATTATTACTTTGAAAAGCCAACATGTCACATTTTCTATGTGCAGCCACTCTATGCTCATTTAATGCCCACAATAGCCCATTTTACAGATGACAGAACTGAGGCACAGAACTCACAGATGACCAAACCAAGGTCACAAGCTTTGAAGTGGTGGGGACAGATTCAGGCACAGGCTGTCTCGCATCAGAATCCAGGCTTTTCACATTTGAATCTACGATGCTTCACCTAAGATGATTTTTTGTGTGTGTGGCCCTTAGTTGTTTTACACAAGGGGGGGGGGTAGTTGCTGCCCATAGGGGGGGGGGTACTAAGATGACTTCAGGGCGGGCCTCCCACAAAAGTGCATGGCATGCCGCCCGGGCCACTCCAGGTGCTGCCAACCAGCTAGCGGTGCAGAGCTGTGGATGCCTGCCTGTGGGTGGCCTGTTCTCTGTGATCCCCAGGTCCTGAGGGGGCGGTGCCACTGGGACACCATTCCCTGCTGCCGGCAGGTTTCCCTGCCTTTCAAGATTTTATTTATTCATTTGTCAGAGAGAGAGCACAAGCAGGGGGAGCAGCGGAGGGAGAGGGAGAAGCAGGCTCCCCGCTGAACAGAGCCCGATGCAGGGCTCGGTCCCAGGACCCCGGGATCATGATCTGAGCCAAAGGCAGATGCTTAACTGACTGAGACACCCAGACGTCCCTCCTGCCTTTGAAGACTGAGGCCAGTGGCCCTGGCCTCATAGCTGTAGGCATCTCCAAGGTGTGTGAACCCCTGCACCAAATGCTCTTGTTTGCAGAGCCGGGAGCAGGCCCCCTGTGGGCAGAAACCACCTACCTGGCCGTCCCTATCGCCTGCTACCGGATGCCAGGACTCAAGGCTTTAATGCTGTGATGTATTTCTTCCTCTCTTCCACTTCAGGAAAACTGATTTCTCATCATCCAAAAGGAACATGTGATTAATGGCAAGCCTAAAGTGCCTGCCGTTCTTTGATAATTGCTTCTTTTTTTTTTTTTAAACAACTTTATAGCCACGTTCAGAACGTAGTGGATTTCAGGCAGTTTGGAGAGGATTTCTGGTGAGTCAAGGCAGAAAGGTTATTATATGCAAGTGTCATACCTGTGTCCTTACATCGAAGCGCTGTGTTTTTCCATTGCCCTGGCGGGAATGCTAAAATATATGGATCAACTAGAGTGCTCGTCCATTTTTCTACCTGGCGAAATAAAGTGAAATCTCTGCTAAGATTCCTTGCAAAAGCAGGAGTGGAGCAGTCAGAAAATGATGTTACTTATTCAGCTCTCAGATACTGTGTCTGGGAAGGAAAAACATTTCTCGCGCTGTGGATGAGGGTAACCATTTGGGGGAAGTATCGTGAGCCGGTGCCTTGCAAGGGGTCATCCGGGGATCTTGATAAAATGCAGAAGCTGATTCTGGAGGTCCGAGTGGGGCCTGAGATTCTGCATCTCTTAACAAGCTCTCAGGTGGTGCAGATTCTTCAGGACCTCACAAGGAATTAGAGGAACCCTCCACCCGCCTATGGGAGAGGGACGAGAGAACCCTATGGGAGAATAACTATGACAATTAATCACTGTCATGTCGACAGGACCGCTGACATATGTCCTGGTCACAGCATGTCATTTGCAGCTAGGGAGGGGTGTTGCTGAGAAGTCAGACTGTGGAATCATTTGCCCATCAAGCGACGGATTTCTTTTGGCCTCCACAAACCCACACCCTCATTTGGGAAGTTGCCTTGTGATCCTTTGTGCGATAGCACGGAGCGTAGACTAGCTTGTGGGATGAGACGCCCCGAAGGGGTCTGTAGTAAAGCTACCGTAGTCTCGGATAGTCTCATACTTACTGGGGCACAGAGTTAGAGAGAGAGGCAGTGAAGAGCAAATCCATAGGCTGTGTGCCATGCCCGCTGCACCTGCCAGCCCACTGACATGAAGCCATCGGCTGTTTGAACAGTATCTCTCTGACTTTGTTTAAAGCTTACCTGGGTGGCCGAGTGCTAAACTGTCTCTTCTGAGATGAACCTGTGCCGAGCTCTGAGCAGCGAACTCACCCTGGCTTATGCTGATTGCTGGTTTCCATGGCACATCTATCGCTTGTGCCTACTAAGTGCAAGCTACCACCTGCGCCAGTTCTTTTCTTTTGAGATTTTATTTATTTATTTGGTAGAGAGGCAGAGAGAGAGCGCAAGTAGGCAGAGCGGCCCGCAGAGGGAGAGGGAGAAGCAGGCCTCCCGCTGAGCAGGGAGCCCGACGCGGGGCTCAATTCCAGGACTCTGGGATCATGACCGGAGCCGAAGGCGGTCGCTTAACCAACTGAGCCACCCAGGTGCCCCCCATTCGTCTTTTCTAAAAAGACCCTGATCCGTTATTTTTAAGAGCAGAAATGCCAGATCAGGAATGAATACCCGAGTCCCACTAGGAAGTGATCTTTTAAGTGAAGCCAGCTCATGCCTATTGAAAGGAATAGCATCGCAGTAAGTGGCCGGGAGAGGGCTGCTTAATCCTGTTTTCTTAATTAAATGGCAAAAAGTCCTTTAGAAGCTATATGCAGTGAGGCCAGCTTTCTCTCCCGCTCACCCATCGCTGTGATGATCATCGGTTTGTGACAGAGTGGCAGTGGAAATTTTGATGACTTTATTATTCTTTCTGTGCAGGTGAGCTGGTGTAGATATGGGCTGGCATGGTGCCCTATCCTTGTTAGGGCTGATTCCGTCCTTGTGGCCAAGTGTAATGTGTCTGTTTTCCCCTCAAACCTGCTCCCCTCCCTATTGCCTTTCGACCTACTACCTCAGCTGTGGTCCCTAGACAACCAGCAGATGGGCCACAGCCACGGATCCACAGCCTCTGGAAACAGAGGCACAAAAAGTATTCTCTCCCAAAGGTCTTTCTCCTTTTTTAGAAAGTCATTTTAACTATACTTTAAAAAAAAAAAAAGCAAGCTTTCAGGAATACTGCATGTTGTAGAAGAAGACTAGCACACAAACCGACATGTTCTATGCAGGGGGCAGGGGGACGGGGAATGTATAAAACTCAGCTTACGTTGCAGCGCGGAGGACCTTGAGTATAGGACTTCACATCCTGGATCTGTACAGCTGGCGCTTGGGTGCTACAGCTGAAGGTTTTGTGACCGTCTTTTTCACTCGAGGTCAGATTCAGAGCATAGATTCTTGCCAACAAGGGGGACCATGGTGTCGCTGCATTCAGGAGACATTTAGCGAAGGCAGACAGTGGTGCTATTTTGAACCTCTGAAGATAACTCAGACATGCCTCTGCCAGAGGAGCTGTCTCTCTCGTGGGGACAGAGAAAGGGTCGTGCAACACCCCCATGTCACAGTGGGCTGCAGAATTCCAGCAGGGAGGAGAAACTTACTCCAAATCTGCTTTATTGATTGTTTTCTGGGTTTTGGTTTTTTTTGTTTTGTTTTGTTTTGTTTTTTTTGTCTTGTTCAGATAGATTAACCATGGTGCAACTTGGTCTGTCTTGGTCTCACAGTGCAAATAGATGGCCTGGAACTCACAGTTCCAAAGGAGCACGGGAGTCGGGACCAGAAGAAGGGGATGGTGCAGGTGGCAGGAGTGAGCAGACGGACGTTCCAGGTGGAGGGGGTCCCCTGATACAGCGTCGCCCAAGGAAGGCACGGCAGCAGATGGGCAGGAGAGGGATCCTGCCCTCCAGCAAGCTCAGTAGCATCCCCAGAGCAGAGGAAGCGGAATTGTGCAGTGCAAACACTACAGCCCCATACAAAGCAGCGTCTCCTAGTGTCTGGGCTCGGCAATTCTGAATTACGTTCTTTTGCCGCTGACTCGCTCTGTGACCTTGAGCAACAATCTCTTCCTTCCCAGTTCAGGCCTCGGCTCATCCAGCTGTAAAAACAAGGATCTCAACATTGACATACAACGTAGGGCTCTCGTGGCGGCCAGCAAATAAATACGATTTCTATGGTGCTTGGTTGTTGGAGAAGGTTCCCTGACCCCGGTGCACCCGTGGCTCCTCCAGGCTACGGGGCAGGGCGCTCATGTCTCTCTTGTCCCTTCTGTGTTCCAGGAATAGAGCTGTGCCCCCCTGGAAAACGGTTCATGATCACGATGGTGGCGAGTTTCGTGGCCATGGCGGGGCAGTTCCTCATGCCCGGGCTGGCCGCCCTGTGTCGGGACTGGCAGGTCCTGCAGGCCCTCATCATCTGCCCCTTCCTGCTCATGCTGCTCTATTGGTCGTGAGTATCCTCCCGGCAGGCTTCACCACCTGCTGCTTCTGCAAACGCTTTCTGAAGGGCGCCCCCCACCCCCGGGGGGAGACATGTGAAGCAAACCACTGGGGGCCCGCCGTCCCCCAGCTCCTGGCTGGTTTCAGCTTGTGCTTTTTTTGTGAAGGCATTTTCCTCCTTTATAAAATTTCATCTCTTAAACCTGGTATCCTGGGAAATGTTGAAACACCCACACAGATCGGCGGAAGAGAGTGGAGGGAGTCCCTGAGCGCCCTCCACCCAGCTCCGGGAACCTGCCCTCCCTCAGTCTGTCCGGATGCGTGCTTGCTGGGTTATTTTGATAGGATTTTTATGAATAGATTTGCAAAGGGAGGATTCTTGTGTTGGGAGGGGGGACTACGGAGACGTTCAAGGGGTGATTTAGGAAAGCCCCCTTATCTCCTCTAGATTAGGGACAGGTAGAGACGACAGTCGTGGACCAAATCTGGTCGCCACCTGTTTTGGCAAATACAGTTTTATTGGAACACAGCCATGCCCGCACATTTACATACGTGTCAGCTCGGGCTGTTTTCATGCTACAGTGGTGTTGCTGAGGAGGGTACAACAGTCTCATTGGCCTACAAAGCCGAATATTTACTCTCTGGCCCGTTACAGGATGTTTGTCCACCCCTGCTCCTGACGAGTCCACTAGGCCTTTGAGAACCATGTATAACTTTGGCTTTTGGCTGGCTGGCTGTACGGAGAAAACAACTGAACACACTAGGCTGGTGGGTGTGACCTGGGCAACTAGATTTTTAAAAACTCCCCGGAGGATTGATGTTTAGCAAAGGTTGAAAAACCCCCCTCTTGGATAGAGAGATGTTTAGGAAAAAAAATGAGTGTTCAGCCTTTTTTTTTTTTTTTTTTTTTTTTAACAACGCCCTTCTTTCTTTCCCTGCCCCTCCCCGGCCCTCTTCATGCCAACACCCTGTCCACATGCGAGTACGAGCCACTCCTGTAGAGAATACATACTATTTTTTGTTGCTCTTACTTGGCCACTAATGGAAACCCAACTTCTGGCAAGAAGTCAGTTTGTGTCTTAGCTTTAAGTGTTCACTGGAGCAGAGAAGCCTCCTTAATTGGGCTTCCTTTCCTAAGGTACCAGGGAGGGGAAGAAAGCCCCTGCCTTTTAGCTTCATGGTGCTGGGCCCCAGCGCCGCCCTGGTAGTAGGTCATCCCACAGAGAAACAGCAGTGAGTGAGGGAACAGGTGCATTTTCCTCCAGAGCCCAGCTCTTGGTTACTGTATCAGAAGAACCTGGGCAGCAGCAGGCAGCGGCAGGGAGCTAGCTGTCAGGGATGAAGAAAGGCCACCTGCCGGGGGGCCGCTCACTGGGGACAGCTGCCCCAGCTGTGCCCCCCCCGTTCCCCCCTCCCTCTGCTTCTTGCAGCCCTGCCTGCCAGCTGGGGCTGGACAGCACCACCACCACCACCACCACCACCACCACCACCACCACCCGCCCCGGCTCCGCGCAGGAGTGGGAGCTGTGCATATTTCAGGACCTCCTGCTCCCTCCAGCAGGGGCTTAGGAGGCAAAGAATGAAATCGTTGCCCAAAGCAGGATAGAACGGGCAGTTCTTCCTTCTGTCTTCTAGGCAATCCTTCCTGTTCCTTCCCTTGCTGCATCTGGAGCGGAACCTTGCTTGTTTTGGAATTCAGGGGCATTTATTTATTTAACAAATGCTCATACCATGTTCATGTCACACACAAACTGCAAGCACTGTACAAATAGTAGGTTATTCGGTCTTCGTATTTCATCACCCCACTGTACAGATGGCAAAACTGAGGTCACCCAGCTGGCCCTTGAACCCCAGGCCACTCTTAACCACATGCAGTGCCATCTCCTGCCTTCCCTGAGTTTCTGTCTCTTGTCTCGGACCACTGGAGCCCCTGGGAGAGAGCCTCTGGCCCTGGGAGAGAGCATTGTTGCCCTAGAGGATCCTCCGTGAGGAGGATCTGACATCCTCCCAGCTACTGCCCCTCGCACCAGAGCGCCCAAGGGCCCCCGGAGCTGTCTGAAGGCCCCTGGGCGGGGGGGGCTGGAGGCCTGAGGAGGGATGGACACAACCTCCTGGTGGCTCACACTCCAGTAAGAGTTAGGCTTCAAGTCTCCACCAGGTGCTATCCCACCTGCCCCGGGTAGGAGGACACCCAGCAGGGAGAAACGGCAGGGAAGGCTTTGGAATAGGTCTGGGGGACTGACCCACATTAGGTAAAGGGGTTCCTGTTGATCATATTATATTTTTTATTTAAATTTAAAAAGTATATCAGGGTTTAATGGCAGGTAAGATACTCATTTCTTTAAATATACTATAAAACCTAAGAAAAAAAATTCTTTGAAACTCACAAATGTAAAAACAAAATTTTCTAGTGAAAAAGGCAGCCAGGGTGCTTTGAGAAGTAAAACGTGTACTCAGACCAGCAGAAGGACGGACGTTCCAAGTCACTGACGCCATGTGGTCACAGCTCTGGCGCTGCAGTCTGGGGGAGACCAGCTCTACCCAAATATGTAACTGCTATGATCAGCATCAATCATTTTGTATTTATATTATTCTCTAAGGTGCTTGGCACATGTCTGACCTACACTAAGTGCTCATAAATCTGAGCGGCTTTACAGCTACAATCGTATCACCTCTTAACCCGCATGGAAGCCAGGGTGTAACAGGGGGCAGGCCAAAGAAATCGGTGGTGAGCGACGCATCCCACCTTTGCCTCTAGCCTTGAAAGGCTCCGTAAGAATCACCGGCTTTCTCTGGCCAGCCGCCCTTCCTGCCATTTGCTGTGGGAGGTAGGAAGCCCCTTGCTCCCGAAGGCTCTGTAGCTTGACAGGATAAAGGGGGCCGCTGGGTAGTGGGGAGGCGGCTGCAGCACAAGCCAGGAGGCCGGCTGTGGATGACAAAGCCCTGATACTCTCTCGCTTTCCTTTCATGAGCAAGTCTTTATGGTGGGGGCCCAGGGGACCCTGCAGAGTACTTGGTACTTTGGGGTCCCTCCAAGAGCAGATGTGGAAGCAAGGACCACAAACCAAACTGCACAACATGGAGTCACTGTCACGCAGGGTCTTGGCATGGGAGCAATAAGACAAAGCGGGGAGATTGACCAGAAGGGATCCTCTGGTCCACAGGGTGGGCTGCACTGACACGGACCCTCCAAACACACACCCAGTGCTGGATAAGGTATCACATCAACCAAATATGCCCACGGTGCTGAGCTCCAGTGCCAGAAAGGGGGAACTCCCAGGGCCCAGGCCAAGGAGAACATTCAAGCTAGAGTGGATACAGAGGCAGCCTGCAGGGCAAGGGGACCAGAAAGACTCCAGGGAGCTGGAGTCTTAATACCTGTCGCAAGGGCTGGAGCTAAGGTCTCAGGCCCTTTATGCACTTATAACTGAGCTCCTTGAATGAAGCCAGGACTCCAAACTGTCCTGTTCTAATAACAGTATTCGAAAGTCTTTGCCCACCACAGGGACTCAGCTCCAAAGCTGGCTGATGCCTCGGACTGTGGGCAGAAATGATCCACCTCTAAGACATGGAGCCAGGAAGTCTGCACCACCCATGGCTATGTGTTCCAAATTCTAACCGCTTTGTAAGGCTGAGGAATTGTGAAGCTCGTTGGACCCTCTGGCTCAAGAATGAAACCTCCCACAGAGAGTCACTGGAGACTCACATGGAAGAAAATGCTTACCAAGGATGAACTCACAGCCAAAAATCAGAGTCCATGGGAATCCATTCTAAGGGCCTGAAACTATAAATTGAGAAATTTGCCTCTCAGGAACTCTAGGAAACAGAGCAATCTGAAAATGAAGTTGATTCAAATAATTTATTAAGGTAGTTACCACTACCTCATGCCGAATGCTGTCCTAGCTACTAAGTATTCTAGATACTGCACATACATATGAGCGAAAATCTCTCGTCATTTGCAATCTGTATTACAGTGGGTATGCGGGGGTGGGAGGGAGCCCAGAGACCATAAACCCATACTCGAGCAAATAATATTCTTCCAAATAACCACCACCCTGAAGACATGAAATAAATCAGTGGGGTAGAGAGGAGCAAGTTAGGGCGGTCAGGAAAGGCGTTTCTCAGGGAGTGACTTTAGGGCTAACACCTAAATACGTGATCAAAAAGAGGAAGTCACACAAAGTTCTGGGTGGAAAAATAGGCAAGTGGGAAGAGCAGGGCCAAAGCTGGCTTCCACGTGGCTTCTTCTGGAAGAGGAAGACGACCAGTGGGGCTTGAGTACAAAGGACAAGCTCAGACGCACGGGTGGGTCAGACCACATGTGGCCTTTAACACAATGGGTTTGTTGTTTTTGGGGTTTTTTTTTTTTTTAAGATTTTATTTATTTATTTGTCAGAGAGAGCACAAGCAGGGGGAGTGGCAGGCAGAGGGAGAAGCAGGCTCCCCTCGAGCAGGGAGCCCGACGCGGGACTCAATCCCAGGACCCTGGGATCATAACCTAGGCCGAAGGCAGACGCTTAACTGACTGAGCCACCCAGGCGCCCCTTAATGGGTTTGTTCTGAAAGCCATGAAAACACATGGAGGTTTAAACAGGGGAGGAATGTGCTCTGGCAGGTGCTCCAGCAAGGTCTCGCTGTCTGCCGCTGGGGCTGGTGGAAGAGTGGCCGAGAGTGGGACGGAGGGAGCCAGTGTGGTGTCTGCCCCCGTGGTGGACGGGGTGCTCACCTGGAGAGGCCTGAGTCCAGGTGTGTTTGGGAGCAGCCCCAGTGAGAGGTGCTGGCGGGTCCACTGCGGCCCACAAGGGCAGGAGAGCCACGGCCCGGAATGTTTCCTGGGGGCGGGGGGACAGGGCTCTCTGTGGCACGGAGGCCCCGCGGGGACTGGAGCCTCAATCCTGTCCTGAGGGGAGACCTCGAAGAGTCACAGAAACGGGGTGACTAGCTGGCGAGAGGGAAGGTCTGATCTTGAGTCTTGAGGGCAGTGGAGGAGGCCCTGCAGATAGCTGGGAA